AGTGGGTCCGTGGGTATCTGGGTCGACGGAAATTTCAGCCTGTGCGCAAGTGGGCCGTGGGCAAGTGGGTCCGTGGGCATCTGGGTCGGCGGAAATTTCAGCCTATGCGCAAGTGGGTCGTGGGCAACTGATTCCATGGATGTTACGAGATCCGTGCGGAAGTGGGCCATGGGCATCTGGATCAACGAAGATTTCAATCCGTATCCAAGTGGTCCGTGGGCAACTGGGTCCGTGGGCAAGTGGGCCGTGGGCAAACTGTCCCTGCGCATCTGGCTCCGTGGGCAAGTGGTCTGTGCGCATTTGGGTCCCTCCATGATACAACGATATCAAAAATTGTGTCGAACCTTAAACGCAATGTAAAGAAATACGGCGAACGTCGAACATCTTCATGTATTATGTCTTCGTCGACCATTAGAGCACCTTCCTCGTTTGAGCCGCCATTCACAGCTTTTCCTCGTTGTCGTCGTGGTCATCTTTGGCCCAACGTCCTCAACCCCCCCCCCACCACGCCATTATTTGCAAAGATATGACTCTCCCAGAGTAATTAAAAATATGCAAATTAAGCTATTAAAGCTACTAAATCACAATCCTTTACTAGAAAATAAGAAATTTAGATAGGCCGTAACTAGAACCACTTATTAAACTGAAACAGAATCACTTAGTTTATCCTTCGGATAAAATACGAGAATGATGAATTGCAGCATTGTAAGAAGTACTTTTTTATCCGAGTAATGAAGTATGGCAGAAAAATTTGTATTAATATTGTAATGCTCCAGGATGATGTAGTGAGAATATAAGTAAGAACTAGTAAACCGGGTTCTCGTTCTCCAATTTACATGAAATTGTAAGAAGCTGAATATTTTTTAATACAGTCCATATACAGGGTGTTCCGAAACTACCTGACCCGGTGGGTATGGCGGTGTTCGAGAGGCTTTATTGATCACGAAAATGACCATCCTTGGCAGTAACATTTTTGTTACAACGTATACACTGTAACGCATTTCCTGACCTACGTTCTATCCGCGACCCCAACGTGGCATTCCGCGGATCCCTTCGGCGCCAGGTGCATCCTTGCACCAGCCCGACTCGTTGGGCCTTTAATTTCTAATCCGCGGCACGTCAATTCCGGGAGTCTTCTCGACCGGATCTTCCCGCTATCTCCTAATTCGTCATGGTAGAGGGGAACGTGAGGGCGGCGAGTATCTACAGGAATCAGCCGGCTTCTTTGGTAATGGCTAACACGGTGGGATTTAATTCCAACAATAACCCTTTATTTTGCCTAGGTAAACGAGTACAGTCGGGTGATGTATACGAGCGCGGCTCTATACAATTCTAATACACAACGCGGTCGCGGAGGTCATCCCTGTTGACGGTGGTCGGTTTAAATCTGCAACCGTCAGGACCCGTGGCGAAGCCCGCGGCCCCCCCACTCCTCGTGCCAAGATGCACCGGTGGATGCGTTTCATCCCCGGCTGCATGGCTTCGGGGCGGTCGCCTAAACTGCACTTACCGAATCTTCCGGTGAACCGTACCTTCCTTCCTCGTCACTCGGGTGGTGGTGGTTGGCAATTTTTCCTCCTCGTCGGCCGTCTCCATCCTCTATCATCTGAGTTCCGTAGGAGTGCCGACGTCGTCGATAGATCCAATTCCATATCACGTCCGACGAAAAGCCATGTTGCCCAACAAGTCCTGCAACCCTCACACACTCTCACCACACTCAAACCGGAAAAATCGCGATACCTTATTCGCCGATTTTCGGTATTCCCGTTCCGCGGTTCTCAACGAAGTGGCCCCCTTTCGGCCCCCGGTCCGAGGATTCCCGAAGAATCCCGAGTTCACCCAAACTCGTGCGTTTACTCTCGCCTCGGTCCGCTCTTCGCTTTTCGGCGCTCACCGCTCGCCAGTCTCCGGGCGGCGCCGATCTTACCCGAGTCCGCCCGATTTTCGGGCTCGGCGGTGCCGGTTTCTCTCCCCGGCTTCCCCTTGCCACGAATCTTCGTCGTCATCGGCATTCTCTTGGCGGCTTTCGTTGGCGACACGGCTCTCCGTGCCCCTACGTTTTTATGTAACTGGCCGTCCCACGGACGCCACGTTACAATACAAAAGACTTTTCAACCAATCGTGCGGCTTTCTTGAGATATCAAAGATGCAATTGGGCTAAATACACACTCCACAGATGCACGTACGGCTGTTTTCCAACGAAACCGCGTACCACCAAATTTTTTAATTAAGTAATTCGATTAAGTCCTTGCCGACATTGGAGGATGATTTTAATTAAGAAATATGCATTAGATGTATGCAGCCTAGTTCACAGCCATGTGGCATGGCCGCCCTCGTTGTCCATTAATGGTTTTGTTCTGTTTTCAACGAAATCGCTTACCAACAAATTTTTTAATTAGGTAATCCGTGACCAGCAAAAAATTTGGCGTCGATTGCACACAAAAACAAGTTATTTTTATGAAAAATAAGACTTTTGGGGCTAACTTCACATTCCAAATATTATTTTCCATTTTCCAAAAAAATGAGCAACCAACAAATTTTCTAATTTTTCCAACAAAAACAAACAATTATTTAGCAAAAGAAAAAGTTCAAAAAGCAAATGTTACATTACTAACTTCACGTAGATAGATTTTATAGGCCATGGAGGCCACCATGTTGCCCGGAGCGTAAGCAGCAAACCAGCGCACCGGCGAAGATAACCGCGTACCACCCTGCAACGAGGCCGTGCGAGGCCCACCAGGACCATGCCCAGTGAAAACACCAGAGCCCTGCCATGCCTTAACTGCGGATCAATGTCGAAGCGTGTAGCCTTCTCAGCCCAGCGATCCGACCAATCCTCGAGGCTCTCTGGAGGCCTACCAAGGGAAACGTGGACCGGAAAACTGCCAAATTTCGCCACTTCGAGCCAGGTTTTCGATAGAATGCGAGTGTGAATTTTGGGAGCGCGATTTCTGTGAGAATTTAAATGCGATTTAATTGGATATTGTTTTATGGATTGCTTAGCGTAAGTACACTTTGAGTGATTGAGTTTTTCTTTTCTCCCAATATCCCTTTCTTTTCACCCTTTTGTATTTAGTACATCTCTTTTGGATATCGCGAGCTGTTCCACGCGGACCGGCATTTTTAGTAGTATCTTTTTGAATTTTAGACCGGCCTTCCGCCCTAAAAGCTCGAGATCGAGTGGTATATTGCGTGCGACCTATTATAGTATATTGCGCCCTTTTTCAGTGACCCTCCGTACCCTCCTGTCTCCCATTTGCCTTTTGAATAATTGTAATAACCGACGTAATTTGGTAAGAAGCCATTGTGTTCGGGAACCTTCCTCCCTAAGATACCTTCCACCTCTCCTCTGTGCTAGCCGTGCCATTGTGTCAAGTAAACATTCGAGAACCTTCTGAGCTCACTCGATGGTGCTAGACCGATACCGCAGTTGGCGCCAAAGTTATTATTTTCGATAAGTATTTAGTGCTGGTAAGCCCTCCCTTCCCACCAACCCATTTAAACCTTTCCATCCCGTTGCGATATCGCGTGCTCCTGCGAAAGCGCAGCATGTTATTGTTTTGATTTCATGTCTAGTTTAGTATTGTGCTTTTTAAATCATTGTATTTTGAGCACTATTATTTTCTGATCTATTTTCTTTTCTGTTATCTTTTTTGTTTCTTCTCTTTTCTATTAATTATATTCTTTTACCCCATACCCCAGACCCTGGGTAAATATAACCCCATGTACGTCACAATATACATTGTTACGATCGCTGGATCCGGAAAATCACGCAACGTGAACCGAATTCGTAATAAAAGGGATGATTCGTTGGTTCGGACTACTTAATCAGCACGTCCACGTGTTAAATCAAGGCCTATCGAGTTTTATGATTTGAAGTTGTGATAATCTCTCAAAATATATCTTCCAGGACCAGGAAATATTTTAAGTGATTCCTCAGTAGATAAATCTTTTGGTAGTTTCGGAAACTCTATGGGAATCAATTTCCACGGTAAGTATTGAATAGAATTGTCTTATTCGTTAGTCTGATATTTTGTCGCGTCTAGACCCTTCTAGCTCATTGGTGTTGTTTGTTTTTGAGTGTACGGTTTATTTAATTGCTGCATAATTGAACTTTCCTACCACTTCGTTTAGGCAAAAGTCTGTACTTACTCAAATCGTGTATTCCTAATATACTTCAATTTCCTTTGGTATATAATTGAATCTCAATTAAATTGTTTGGAATGAATGACCAGGCTATCCAAGTTCTGATGATGTGTGAGATGTTGATCGAAGTTTCGATTTTATATTAATGAATTGGTAGGATAAAGTAAAAGCCCTATATTCGACTTCACTTCTACCTTTTCGGAAATAGTAAGGATAGATAGAGGCCCTGTACATACAATGGCTTCAGTTCAACGGCAACAACACTTCTACGCGCCCAAAATTACCTTGAATGTAATTCTAATAGCGCCATCACTGAAGGATTACCCAGATAGGCAAGTACTATCACCGATGCCGGATGGAGTCTAATGGAAAGCCCCGATCGTAAAAATACCATGAAGATGGTAAATCGCTCTTCGAAATTAAATGAAACATCGTGGAGATTGAAACCTACAACAGGGACAAGCAACAGCAACGTTAGCTCACCACCCTCGGATTCTCCTTTCAGAGTTTCCTCGCACTGGTTCTCCGCATTTACTGCTGCCGCAAGAAGATTGGGAGAAAGACGTGCCGCGAAGGACTGTCACCTCGGAAACACAACGCGTCAGAAGAGAATGCAATGCCCCTATCTGGTAAACGTACTGGTCATTGTTACCAAATTTGCAACGTCAATTTAGGAACCACACAGCTGACACAAGAGAACCTGAAACCGGGCCCTCACCGATATTGACTGGACCGTCCGCCACTGGAATACTTCCCCGTCAAGATGCCCAGGTTGATATATGTTAAGCAAACGCTCGCACGATATCGTAACACTACTTACAGGAAACGTATATTGTATACCAAGGATGAACGAATTATGTAGCCACGAAAACTATTGCTCTTTATTTTTCCACTAAATCAAGAATAATCGGCCCAGCCCAAGGGGGTCGTCCTCTGCATTGTTATGCGCCCAGATGACGTCGGTCATCACTCGCAGCATCTGTCGGCGCTCGCAGATCGCCTGCACTTGGTTGATTGTCCGCATTCTCGGACGATGACGCGAACAGGACGGAATTAAAATTTTCCCCGTCTTCTAAGAACATTAGAAACAATGTTGAACAAAACTTTCTGGGACATTGTCGATATTGTTTAACAAAGTGTAATAGTGGAAAACTTACCAACCACACCTTCAACATCAAGGAGGGCGGACCCACGTAGAAAAACGCTCCGCAGACTCCGTCGTCCGCCGGAAGTACCAACACATCATACATTGCTCGCAAGTCAACTTGTAAGATTCAGGAACCAGGGACATGAGACCCCTAAGATAGATTACCACATTAGAATTTTCATATTGTAAGTACTTACTAGGAACCTTTGGGAGGTGTCCCCCTCAGATTTTCTTCGTTTTCACATATGTTGTAATACTCGATAAGCTAAGCGACACGTATTTTTTCTTATCGGCTCAAATTGGATTTTCGGGGGGTGAAAATCGTCCCCGAAAATTGTAGTACTAAACACCCATTTAATTATTTCACACATAACAATTTTTTGACAAATCTGAGAAAATCTCATTTCTCATGTCTCACTATGAGAAAATTTCTCTAGTTGGTTTTGTTCGCAAAAACTATTTTATTTAAAAGAAACAATAAAAGGTACTTCGAGGTGGTTACCCACTAGAAAATAATTTTTCGTAAAAATGCAATAACACGTAAACTTTATTTAATTATCGCGAGCAACATAAATTTTTTCCAAATATTTTAGCTCGAATTAACTCCTGCTTAGCAATTTTTTCTATAATAACAAATAATTTTGGGGATAGTTGACCCCCAAGAAACTTATTCGACAAATTTGAGAAAATCACATTTTTGATATCTCATTGTGAGGAAATTTTTCCAGTTGGTTTCATTGTGAGTTATATGGGAAATAATTAACCCTTTGCGCTTGACGACCTTTTCGGTCGGGCGGAGCAGCAACTCGAGACGATTTTGCGCATATATTACGAATGTCTTACAGATAGCATAAAATGAATTTATATACACATTAACATACGAAAACGTTATATTTTAATATAGTATCTTTATTTACATTTTGAAAAATATAATTTTCTAAGTTGAAGTTCTGTAGTTGCGTTTCGTGATATTTCATAAAACATTCTCCAAGGTGCATCCTTGGTTTATCCGGACAAGTATCGCAATAGTAGGTTGCTATTTTCCATTTTTATAGGGTCTCAAAACTTTAAATGAGTGATTAAAATGAGTGAAAAACCTTGTGATGTACTTGCTACGGTCGTCGAAACTGAAATAACGTATAGTATAATTTACACTTCCTATGAAAGGACATAAAAAGCTAAGGAACCTATTCACAAACCGATACTGTGCTTCTATCAACTGAAGATAAAGAAATCTAGCTTAAGCAAACGCTGTCGCCTCTCACGTGCCATTCGAGTTGCCGCGTGTAACATCGTGGCGAGTGGTAGTCGCCGCTCGAGCGCAAAGGGTTAAATGAGTGTTTAGTACCACAATTTTCGGGGGCAGTTTTCACCCTCTAAATACCCAATTTGCACCAATAAGAAAAAATACATGTCGCCCAGTTTATCGAGTACTACAACATATGTGAAAACGAAGAAAATTGAAGGCGGACACCTACCAAAGGTTCCTTGTTAGTCATGGCACTCCACTACCCTTATTGGGGGCTCTCGTTAGAGTGATCGTCAAAGACGACCGTATCGATGAGGATGTTAATACTTGGGAGGGGGAGGGGGATGCTGTCACGTGCCGTGCCTTTGGACTCAACATTTCTTTCCTCGCGTATGCAAATAAGAAAAGAATATTATTAAGACAGTTGCATAACAAAGGAATTTCGCAAATCCAGAAATGCGAAACGTGGCACTATGTGAGGAAACTGATTTCCGGTCTTATCGCACCGCGAATGTGCCTAGAACGTGTGAACCAAAAATTCCAGAATTTACTCGTGCGGGTAAAACCGCTGAATTGGTAAGATTTGTCCCGCTGTCTGTCCACCAACTTTCAGGGGAAAGTAGGATGGATCAGCGAGAACAAATCAGTCTGCAGATACACACCAGAACGCATAGTTCGATCTAGAGTAGCTCCTCACAATTGCATCGCGCAGTGGCTATCATTCTCACGGGAGTTCTGCGTTCTGTTACATATCGCCGTCTATAAGTCGATAAAGTCGTATCGAGCCCAAAGAGTTGCACGCTTAGCGTTATCATTCAATGTGTGAATAGTTATAAGTTCATTGATTCCGCCACGAACAATATTGTCGTGTAGTTTAAGTGTTAACCCCTTGCACTATTCGGAACCTCGGGAAAAGTCAGGCCAAACGCGGCTGCCTCGATTGTCGTGGTGGAAGGCGAGCGGTGGAGCGCGCGTGCCGAAACTTGATACCTATTCTTACGACCGAGCGCAAGGTAGTCGTGCCCGTATTTACTTCACGCGATGGAACTCTTGTGAAATTCAAATGAATTTGAATCAAAAACTTTTAAAAAATACTTTAATTATTACATAAGATGAAAACAAATTCTGATTAATTATAATAATATAATTTGGTCCAAACTAAGACCACGAATCAGTATTCATGTTTGGTCTGGAACTGAACAACGAATCAGACTCGTGACATCCATGTTTGGCCTAAAATTTTCATCACGAGTCAGACTCGTCAAAATAGTGCAAGGGGTTAATATAAAAGATTGATAACCCGATTCCTGTGAAAAGGACAGAGTGCGAACATCAAGACTGTGACGGCGTCTATAGTTACATGCTGATAGCGTACCTGCGAGTGAGTATGAATGAGCGAGAGTGAGAGCGAAGGTGACATCACAATATATTGACTCAACAAAATTTGGTTGTAACAATATATTCGCATCAGTTCAAGGGTAACTTCGGATCTTCTAATAAAATAGACTATACACCGATTCCTCATCCTAACGGCAATCTAAAGCATCGATCCTGTATCGGAGGGTAGTCGAGAACTTACCCTAAAAATAAACTTCCATGCGTAACGCGAGAGATTAACTTTGCTAGACGTGTAATAATGCCCTGCACGTCACAGTCACACACCAACTGTGAATAAATATGAACAAATATATGTGAAGGTTTACAACATACTATACTTATGATTAACATATTTGAATGATGGTTACCTGCAATTGAATGTAATAAAAACCTTTAAGATTAATATAATCTGCTGTGTTTCCCTTTGGAGCATCAATACAAATGTAGGTAGCATTAATGGCTCCATAGTTTTTGGAAATTCGCTAGCTTTTTTAAATCTTTGCATTACTTAAAAAACTCTATTATCAGTAAGCTATTGAATGAATTTTGCTGACCATCTGAACAGAGCATGAGTGACTCTTTGCACAGCTCAAAGACCTGTAGCCCTCCCAACATTAAACCGATCACAAATAGATCTATAAGAAATTCATTGAAAAATATGACTCGTATTGCAATATACATAAAGATAACATGAAAATAAGAGCACCAATAATTAATTAATACTATTATTTCCTATACTTGTCCATTACCTGTACGAGTCCATAGTAGCCATTTTTCAAAGGGCTATCATTACCTGCTAGTGAGCAGGGACAGTTGGGCAGCTTTTCATTTTCCTGGTTATATCTTCTTCAATGATGCTGAGAAGATATTCAAATGTAGCCTTTGACATTCTGCAAACAGAGGAAAGGTGTAAAAACGTCAATTTTTTTGATTTCGAAAGTGTAAATGTGATTGAAAATATAATGCATTCAACAGAGACCCAGTGATATTGGCATTAAAAATTTGGATAAAGCAACATTTATTAATGCTCACTAATCTAAAATGACTTTTGAACTCGTCGTCCACGTAACTGCGGACATGTACGTAACCTCTAACTCGTAGACGAAGTTCTCATCTTCCTCGCATTCGCAAAGCTTCTCATTCCTCGTTGAAACTTAATGAACTTTCAGACTCATTGGGTATGTTCAACAGAAACACCGCTGAGGGAACAAGTACATTTGATTGGTCATTTGATCGTTAATCTTGAAACAGTTGTGAGATTTGACCAATCAAATGTATTTGCTCCCTCAGCGGTGTTTCTGCTGAACATACCCATTGACTCTTTTTCGACGAAGCAGAAATGCAACAGCAATTTCAATGGGATTCACAATTGTTGTTGACGCTTTAACTTAATAGCAGCCATGTTGCATTAGCTTCAGTTGCCTCCAAGGCGTTCCACTTAAGACTGTAGCCCGTAACGCTTGCGACGTTCACAGACTAGTGGAACGGCTGAAGTCGTGAGCGTCCGTGCGTTAAATGAAACGTACCCTAGAAGTATTATATTTTTTATGTCCACGCGCGTTTGTTTGCTTGATAGAAAATGAATGTTTTTTGTTTGCAAGAAAGTGCTCTGCCCTAAATTATAACACAAAATCTTTTTATTCAGTAACACTTATAGTCATAGGAAAATAATCATATATTCAAATTGAATGTTTAATTTTATATAGTCTTTGAAATAGCTTGTTAACTGATATCATGTCTTGAACATTTTTTGTAAAATTCTTGTAAAAATAACTAATTCATAGTAACCATCCATTTTTAATGTAATATTATTATAGTACTTTACACAGATTTCAAAACTATTGATGCACACATATAGAACATTCAATTGCCTTAGAAAAATGGTTGTGTCCTACATGGTACATTCTATTTTTTACATAACATAGTAATAATATTTAAATATATCTTTCTTAAAATAACCACCCAGAAAGTTAACAAATTAATTTGCAATTTCAAGGATATTAGTATTCCACCACTTTTGGACGTGTTTTAAAGAAAACATATGTTGCAATGATTAAAACAATTGCAGTCATTGTTGGTAATACAACAGTAAAAATTCGTTGCTTGTTTTCAAGAAATTCCTTTTTGCGTTCCTTCTTTTGCTTCTTGGTTTCTTTGGTCTTTCCCTTCAGCTGCCGCATTGCTGTACTACAAGTATATAAAAGAATTTATAAATAAATAATTGCAAAATCTATACATTTACATATTTAGTCGCATGATCTTAATTTAATAACATCCATGTTAAGTATACTTACTAGTTAAAGTAATAAGCTTTATCATATACAAAAAATTATTCTTTTACTTGATATTATGAATAACAAAAGATTAAATAGACAGAACTGATATATTGTAAATATTAGTGGGATTTTTTAAAATTAATTACTTTTCGGTAATATTTTAAACAAATTCTTCTAAATAGCCATTTATTTATATAACAATTATATTTCGTGTAACAAAATTAATAATTGACCACCACTAATATTCATATTATCTGCTTATAAATGAATCATTTAATCAGTTCCTATACATAGAAAATATATAACGGATGCATACTTCATCAGTATTAAATGTTAATTATTTGAAAAAGCCGTACCTTATAAACAATGAATAGATTGTAATATAATCTTTGAACGATACCGTTAATGTCACAAATTGTTACACATTCGACACGTAGCAAACCATGGTGTTCGCTTCCGCTTCTCGACAGCTGATTACACTACGCCGATGATCAAATACACGGCTATTCTAAAAATAAAGTAAACAAACGTTACGTTATTAAAGATTGATTATGTTTTCATCTACTGGATTTAGAAAGAATTAACCAATGACGTTCGTGTATTTTTCTCAAATGTTGCACATGATTTGTTAATCCCCACGACCCTTAGTAAATCCAGTATATGAAAATGTAATAATTGACAACGTTTACGCGGCGGTTTTTATTCCCATTTAGTTTATACTGATCTAAGGAAATCGACAAATCACAAACATTTCTATTTCTATCATTTGTGATTCACCAATTCCCTTCCTTCCTTCCATTCCTTATGGCTGTATCCCCAATGGGGGACATGTGCCAGTAACTGGTCCTAATAATCAATGTTGGAAGTTCGACAATAGATGGCGATATACCTTGCGAGACGGGCCTTATTCAACTCAGCGTGAGGGGACCTACAAAGTTTATACACCGAATCCAAACAGTGTTGGGCGAAATCCGTATAAATACTCACTTAAATTTTCATATAAAAACATATTGGTGAAGTTGGAAGTTCGACAATAGATGGCGATAACCAATTCCCTTCCTTCCTTCCATTCCTTATGGCTGTATCCCCAATGGGGGACATGTGCCAGTAACTGGTCCTAATAATCAATGTTGGAAGTTCGACAATAGATGGCGATATACCTTGCGAGACGGGCCTTATTCAACTCAGCGTGAGGGGACCTACAAAGTTTATACACCGAATCCAAACAGTGTTGGGCGAAATCCGTATAAATACTCACTTAAATTTTCATATAAAAACATATTGGTGAATGCCGCTGGAAGCTGGGCGCTAACCTCCAACCTTTTCGGTCGTGAATCCGCTACCCTATCCACTGGGCTACGGGCACCCTCCACCAATTCCCTTAGATCGGTAATAATTAAACCCACTGAACATGGAGACTACACAAGGAGCACGAACTCAAATGGGAAAATTGACAGAACCTGCTACCAATATCGTCCACCCTACGTTTTCTTTCTGTACCACTAGCGTCGCTAGTTTCTCTTTTGTGTGACGTATGCAACAACGTTCGATATAGTTCAGGAATCCGGCTATAGTGGGTATACGTTTTAGCGATATCAAAACCCGAGATTATTCAAACGACAAATATAGTATATGTTTAATCAAAGACACTATTATTAAGAGATTCAGTTATAAAGGGATAACTCTGAGAAAATCGATATATGCAAGTGGTGACGTTGTAATTATTTAAGAAATTATATTATAAACCTTATAATAGACGTTCTTTTAGTTATGAATATCAGACCTGTATTCCTTCTGTTATTTAAAAGGCGTCTAGCCTAGTTATGTTTATTTACACCTTTTGATTTACGTTAAGAGTGTTTAATGCCAACAAGTCAAGTGCCAATGATTGAAATGGAGACGGTTGGCCCTTTCTTCGAAGAATTGACCGTCAGAAACGGCTAGTATAAGCACACAGTCTTCTTCTCTTGTTCCTTCTGAACTCGCACTTGATTGGTTAAAACTATGTTGGTAGGAGAATCTTTGTAAAGACTCCGGGGTTGAGTCCCAGGAGTTTTGAGTTTGAAATAAAGACTTGTGTATCGACCTCCGATCAGAGCAGATCGCAGTTGATATATATATGTTTATATCTTAATATTCACTTTTATTTCGTAAATATCCTTCTAAATTCGCAAGGTGAGTTTCCACTCTTTACCAACGGAACCTAGCAGCAAGGAACATCGAGTGGGATTTTCAAGCATCCCGCGGAATTGGGCGCTCGGAGCGTTACATTTGTACTGACGTGAATATAGCATAATAAATACATGTGAAGTAAGCAGGCATATATTTACAAGTAATTTCCGTTTGCAAATAAACACGCTTCTAACCTAAACAACTTAATAAATATATTTAATATATATTGTGACGTATTTTTACGCGATCGACCTCACCGGAAAATGCAAGACCGACCGGCGCACAACTTACGCGATTCCTACGCGTTCCAGGCAACCCAGGGGCTAACAAATTTCACTCTCGAAATACCTAAGGTATTGTTGGACGCCAGGTTCCAAAACGGGAACCACGTATCAGTTTCTACGGTTCCTCTTTGCGTGCCTATGTTGGCTAACTCAGCTATGGGGAGGCGGTGGAATTCGGAACAATAGGTCGGATGGGTCAGACGATCACGCGACATACAAAATCATTCGGACACTTCGATCTCTAATATTCAAGGAAGGTTCGGTTTATTAAATAAAATCGGCGGCGCGAAGCGCGACGATCTCTTACAATACCGAAGTAATTATTTACAAAAGAAATAGTAATTAATATAAATCGAAAAGACAAAACCAAAGTACAATCACAAGATAGTAACGGGTACTTCGCGTACCGTACGAATTCAAAGCCAAAGTCGTAATACGGCTAATCCGCGTTTACCAAAATATGACAACCGACCGTCAAGGACCTGCGCGCGGTCTACGCGATACAAAATCGAAAGTACAAGTTCCTTGCGGGCGGAACAACACGAAACAATTCGGAGACATTACAAAATTCTAATTCAATGATTAATCTCAAACAAAATTCCAAACCGTGAACCCTGCCGGTCGACGGACCTTCGTGCCGTGGTCTTATTCGGGGTGAGGGATTGTCCCTCCGCGTGTTCGTTACACGCGCAGTCAAAACTTACGAAAACAACAAAATCCGGCACCACGATTCGCACGAAGTTACCTCGCTCACAAAAGTCAGTTAGACTCGCTTACCGTGGTGTTCCCTGGTCGCGTAATCCCAGAAAACCAAATCGTCAACCCAATGACACTCAGTGCACTCGCGTACTCACAATACAAATCAAACGTCTATCGCCGTCGCGTGTCCAAGCCAGATTCTCGATCTGCACGCGCTTTGTCTTCGTGTGAAGGATAGCACCCCCTCCCTTTAGGCTAATAGGCGGCGATTCGCCCTGCGGACGAATCCTTCAACCCAGCGCCTTTGCCACGCGCCAGTTTCGAATATGTCATCGCGACAATTACTAATTTCCATCATCTCTTGTGGACAATTTATACATCTCGGTCCTACGAAGAGTTCCATTCGTTCTCGCGCGAGGGTGCACCAAGCGTCCCTGGATTTCCAACTCGCGGAAATATAATTATGCGCAAACTGACGATGGGCGCTATGCCATAGGGGTCGGTAGTGGTGCTCAGTCG